AGGTGGACGGATACAAAAATGGCTGCCATATACACGTCCACTGATAGGAGACGCGGAAGGTATTAAACTGATCAGAACAATACTAAACACACCACAAATAAGGTTTCTCTCCTATATGGCTCCTCAAATGATGCTTAAGATTAGAAGCGGCTGAAAAGCATTTCTCACACTCCGAACAAAAATATATTTTTTTAACATTCTCTCCACTTTGAACGAAATGACGTTTGGGAAGAGATTAACATAATTAAGCACAGGCAGTAAAAATACAGTTTTTAGCCATACCCTGTAACTTTAAAACTACACATCCCATCTTCATAATTACATATTTGGAATCAGCACACTTAAAACATAAACATAACCAAGAATCAGCCAAATCCATCCAGGGGTTAAAAAGTTAGCTGGAGGTCCCTTTATGACCGACTGCAAGCACATTTTCCTGCCCAAAACAGTTCCATAGATTTGGGCTGTGAGGTCGGTCTATTTCAGGCTGAAAAAACGACTAAGTCCCATCGGCGAATGGGACTTAGTCTCTGCAGCTGAAATAAGGCTGAAAAAAACGGCTGAAAAAAAGACTAAGTCCCATCGCCGAATGGGACTTGGTCTCTGCAGCTGAAATAAGGCTGAAAAAAACGGCTGAAAAAAAGACTAAGTCCCATCGCCGAATGGGACTTAGTCTCTGCAGCTGAAATAAGGCTGAAAAAAGCGGCTGAAAAAAAGACTAAGTCCCATGCTTGAATGGGACCCAGTCTCTACGCAGCACTGAAATAAGGCTGAAAAAAGCATTTGAAAAAAGGCCCAAGTCCCATGTGAATGGGACTTAGTCTCTACAACGAAATAATTTCCCATTTACTGAACCAAGTGGGAAATAGCCAGGCAGGCACAAAGGGTTTGCACCAGGTCTGGGGACACAGGGGACACCGTCTTAAAGGGGCAGTGTCCCCAACAAGTCTGGGGACACGGCCTTAAAAGGGCAGTGTCCCAATCTTCCTGATGTCCCAAAAAAGGTGTTTAAAGGGCCAGCACCAGTCACATAAAAAGTCCATAAGCCCCAATATGCCCACCGACAGTCTTAAAGGGCCATACACACCAAATAAAAGTGCATACATTTTCACAATCTCCCAGGGGCCATAGTCATGCGGGAGGAGGCTGGCAAAGAGGCTTCTCCACAACCCAGGGAAACAGGGCAATTTGCCATTTAAAGGGCCCGTTACAAATAGCAGTTGTAACAAGGTGTCAATCCATATCTGCCAAGTGACCCGATGTAGGGGGACCAGTCCCTATTCTGCTCTGTGTCAGTGTGTACCAGGGAACCTTAGGACAGGTGTCAATCCATATGTCAAGGTCAATATGTCATATGTCAGGTGTCAATCCATATTATTTGATTGTGATTTAGGAATGTTAGGTGATTTCTGCCCTTTATGGATTAAAACCAGACTCTGTATCAACTGTGTAATTTTCCATGAGTTTGCCATGGATCCCCCCTCCGGCATGCCACAGTCCAGGTGTTAGTCCCCTTGAAACAACTTTTCCATCCCTATTGTGGCCAGAAAGAGTCCCCGTGTGTTTTAAAATTCGCCTCCCCATTGAAGTCAATGGCGTTTCGGGCGGTTCGCCGGTTCGCGAACATTTGCGGAAGTTCGCGTTCGCCGTTCGCGAACCGAAAATTTCGGGTTCGCGACATCACTACCTCAGATTAATAATTTTGGAGAAGCTTTTCAAATGCTCACAATCTGTTATATAAAAAACATTTTTAAATGATTTATCTACAAATATTCCCATTTTTGTAATAGTGATTTCTATGAAAAGTTTTTCTAACTCATTGCATTCATTTCAAAAGCGTATTAAATGATGGCCTCGGTGTGTAAATAATGTAACACAATGTGAATTCATTTCTGAAAGTCAAAAATCAGGATAAAGCATTAGAAGGAGACACAAACAAATTCAATAGTATTAGCTCCACCAAAAGTCATTTAACAAATCCATAGGGCCGGCATGTTGTAGCTAAGATGCTCACTTAAAAGTAAGATTTGTTGAAGAGGATGAGCACGTTTAATGTACACACTGCTATCATTGCGTGGAGAAATGGCAGAACCATTGCTATAGCAGTAGTTGTTGAAGCCTGATAATTTTACATATTCTGCACCCCCCAACCAGTGCATTCTCTTCATTTCCCTAAAAGCAAAATCATATATTTTTAATTGTATTATTTTTTCAACTAATCAAAACATTTTGTTAGTTACTGTGGAGCTCTGTTATACACTCAGACACAATACTGGGAGTATTATTGCTGTGGGGCTTTGTTATACACTCAGACACATTACTGGGATTGTTATTGCTGTGGAGCTCTGTTATACGCTCAGACACATTACTGGGAGTATTATTGCTGTGGGACTCTGTTATACACACAGACACATTACTGGGAGTATTATAACAGAGCTCCACAGCAATAATACTCCCAGTAATGTGTAGCTCTGTTATACACTCAGACACATTACTGGGAGTATTATTACTGTGGGGCTCTGTTATACACTCAGACACATTACTGGGAGTATTATTGCTGTGGGACTCTGTTATACACACAGACACATTACTGGGAGTATTATTGCTGTGGAGCTCTGTTATACACTCAGACACATTACTGGTAGTATTATTACTGTGGAGCTCTGTTATACACTCAGACACATTACTGGGAGTATTATTGCTGTGGAGCTCTGTTATACACTCAGACACATTACTGGGAGTATTATTGCTGTGGAGCTCTGTTATACACTCAGACACATTACTGGGAGTATTAGTGCTGTGGAGCTCTGTTATACACTCAGACACATTACTGGGAGTATTATTGATGTGGAGCTCTGTTATACACTCAGACACATTACTGGGAGTATTATTGATATGGAGCTCTGTTATACACTCAGACACATTACTGGGAAATTCTCCAAATCAGCTCTATTTTCAGTTTGATAATTTTGACTTTGAATTTGAAATTCATTTTGATTTCTCAGAAATTCTCACTTTTTGAAAAAGCCTCTTGGTGAGTGTATAGTCACAGTCTCTATTCCCCCGAGGATGTCAATGCAATACATAGATATATTATTTCTCTTTTCATTTAAAACAAAGTGATTGTGACTTTGATAAATACACCCCAAGTTCTCGTATGATTTGCGCTGAGCTAATTTATTTCTGCCGCGCACTCACATCTCGACGGCTGTTTATTCCATGCAACGTCTCATCTTGATTTATTCGTTTCTGTAAAGCATGACAGGTGTTTATTTCTTTACAGAATAGGAATAGCAAAAAGAAGAAATCAGCTTGCTGCAACCAGGAGATAGTTACTAACACTAACAATTTTAAAATGAGTATATTTAAAACCCCAATATTTGAATCAAAAATTGGCAGAAGTGGTAAGTCTGCTAAACAATGTAACACAGTAATTCGGTAACAGTTACAGCTTCAGTATACACAAACCAAGTGAATATATATAAATTGTATCAACAAGTGAACAAAATGGAACAAACACAAACAGGTGTTCAGTGAAATCGTGTGCGCAAAAATTCAAAACTGATGAACAAAGAGGTGAATATGTTTTTTAAGATCCAATAAACAGGTGGTTCTTCAGCATTACATGAGCATCGTTACACAATTCCAGAAAGCGTTTCCACTATTAGGAATCCTGGAGGTCATGGGAGACACAATTAGAAAAGATAAATCCATTCTGCAATAGTTACCAGTGGAAGCAACATTGTTTCTAACATGCCCTCATTATAGGGCTGGCCAGGATTGGGGGAGTGTAACAGGTAGTAAAGGAGACATCCCACAGAAAGGGAACTCATTGAAACGAAGGCTCAGATTTGCTTCTACAGATAGATTGAAGAGGAATAAAGAGTTTATTCTAATAAACGCTATGCTCAGAGTAAATGTAGTTACAGTAGAATAGCCTTTGGAAAACAATATTCACTAGCCAAGGTTTACAGCAGTGAAGATTTATTAATAAGAATGGAGTGTATAACAATGAAAATCGATTAATAAAATGGAATGACCTATGATGGAGAACGTCCGGTAATTACAATGAAACCAAATGTAAAACATACGCAGTATTTTAAGGAATAGTAAATATTATAAAGTGCCAATTGAATAAAAAATGTTCTTAAAAAGAATATAATAAAGTGCATCAGAAGGTTTCTGAAACAGTAATATGCATTTATACAATATAATTCATGACCTACATGTGGTGATCCGCAAATACAGAACTGTAACCAATAGTAAACAGATAATGAATAAAAATACACAAACACAAAAGCCATAAAGATATAACTGTGTCCAAAATGTGATAAGTCCCCACTCTAAAATAGGTTTATTGCAGCTTGTGGATAAGACAAGGGTGAAGGTAACCCAGCATCAGCAATTCACGAGAAACCTGTGAAAATAGAATAATGGGGAAATATTAACCAAATTCTCTAAGTTTACAGGAAAATCCTAAACATTCTCTGCCACAATAACTACTTATAAAAAAGGCTAAAAACAGCAAGTGATCTATAAAACCAAACCTACCCAGATTAATGTCAATACGCCATATTCTTGATTAAATCCTTTAGAGTACAACATCTCAAGTTCTCCAAAAAGCCTCTGGTAACAACACATTTCTACCTCTATCGCCCCTTTCTGAGGGTTTCTGGGACATGTTCAATTACCTGGAATTTATGTTCGGAGACATTATGATGGGCTTCAGAGAAATGGGCAGGAAAACCCACCAAACCCACTCGGATTGTGGAGTTATGCTTGGAGAACCTTTCTTTCATCTTTTGTGACGTCTGACCCCCAAATAACTTGGAATTCCAATTTTGTAGTTTAATAATGCCCTTGTGGTTATATGTATGTGGCTCAGTAAAATAGTTTATTCTGATATTTTGTGTCAATATGTGGATGATAGAAAATAGAGCCTTGGATCATGGAGTGGGAAGCTACAGAATCATAGCAAGGGAAACAGCCTCTCTTAGGCCGAAACACTAGATTCAGCTTTAACCAGTTTGTCCCTAAAGATCAAAATAAAACTGGTTTTCAAAAAAGTGACGCAGTGTTTATCTAAGGATGATTGGTGCTTTGCTCAATGGATAATAATGTCAGTCATTTCAATGGTAGAGGTTGGTTTACTTTAGAGAATCACTTTGTGTAAAAGGATTCCAGTCTGCGGCTGTTGTCAAACTCCAACTCAATGTACACAGAGAATGTTGCCTGCGGCCAGGATGTTACAGAATACCAGGAGACCTGTTTATTGTTACTATTCATTCACTAAAGATGTTTTCATTTGCATTGTAAGGATTCATTATCGACACTTGTTTGTTTTGTTTGTGCATTGTCCCTATTTAAGCTGTGTCTCTTTACATTGCAAGGCCTGTGTAAGATCCTTAGGGGTTCCTAAATAATACACAGCGCTTAATAAGTGACGTGGACAGCGTGGACATTACATACAGCGCTTAATAAGTGACGTGGACTGCGTGGACATTACATACAGGGCTTAATAAGTGACGTGGACAGCGTGGCCATTACACACAGTGCTTAATAAGTGACGTGGACAGCGTGGCCATTACACACAGGGCTTACTAAGTGACGTGGACAGCGTGGACATTACATACAGGGCTTAATAAGTGACGTGGACAGCGTGGCCATTACACACAGCGCTTAATAAGTGACGTGGACAGTGTGGCCATTACACACAGCGCTTAATAAGTGACATGGACAGCATGGCCATTACACACAGGGCCTAATAAGTGACGTGGACAGCGTGGCCATTACACACAGCGCTTAATAAGTGACGTGGACAGCGTGGCCATTACACACAGGGCTTAATAAGTGACGTGGACAGCGTGGCCATTACACACAGTGCTTAATCAGTGCTTAAAGGCAGCAGCCCACCTGACATCAAAGAGGGTATAATCTCAAGGCAAACAGATCAGTGAGGCTCTAGTAGAAGTGAGAGTTTAAACATCACCCTGCCTATATATGATGTTTAAAGTACTACACTATTACTGCATGTTTGTATCTACTGCCTAGAGCAGGGGTAGGCAACCTACGGCACTAGTGCCATGCACGGCACTCGAGGTGTCTTTGCACGGCACTCAAGGCTGCTAGAGCCAAACGTACTCTGGCCTATCAGGAGTCCCAGTGAAACTTCAGATATCTGCTAATACGAAGAGGTGGTGAAGGACAATCCTCAATTTATACATTGCAGCACATAGAGGAAGTGATTTCAGATCACTTCCTCCCAGCACTTCCTCGACAGCTATCGCAGCTCCTGTCCTTGACCTGTACCTGGCCAGCCTGGTCCCCACTGGAACCCAGGGAACCCACCCACACTGCTAGATATACACAGAAACCCTCCCCTCATACAAATAATATGAACAGCCCCCACACACACACAACACACAATCCCCACAAACGCAACAATATACATACATGCACACAACCCCACATGCAGCATCTCACATGCAATACCCCACACAGCCCCCACACACTACCAAACACACAATGGGACATATCCATCCACACACAATTCCACAAGCAGCCCTCATACACAACCCACATTTATATGTATCATACACGATACCATAAACTACTCATGAACATATACAATATAATAGCTCATATACGCACAAATATAACGATACAAAGCAATTACAGTAAAAATAACACAAGCAGAATACGGCAGCATACACACCTCAATTTAAAAAAAATAGGATCGGCACGCTACAGGACATCACAATCCTATATTGGCACAGTGCTGCTAAAAGGTTGCCTACCCCTGGCCTAGAGATTATACCCTTTATCCACATCTACATTTAATTAGAGGTAAGGTAACCCTTGCATGGGATTTTATTTATAAGCGCTCCACTATTGTTATAAAGGTTTAACAAATATTAACATCTGGCCCTCCAGCAACCCGTTTGCTTTTTTCATTGAGGCCTGTGTAAGGTCTAATAATATTATTATTAACAAATTATAAAATAAATTTCTTGTCAAATTTGTTATAACATTTATCGAACACTAAATTATAAAGAACACTTACTCAAATTCATCAAACTCAATTGTGTGAGGATTTATTACGTTACTTGCTATTTTTTGTTCTGAAAATTGTGTATGGATTTAAAGGGACACTATAATCACCAAAACAACGTTATCTTAATTAAGCGGCTTTAGTGTATAGATCATACCCCAGACGTTTCACTGCTCAATCTTCTGTCATTTAGGAGTTAAATAACTTTTGTTTCTGTTTATACAGCCCTAGCCACACCTCCCCTGCCTGTCACTGACACAGTCTGCATGAAAGCAAAATGGTTTTATTTTCAATTAAGATGTAACTTACTTTAAACTACTTTACTCCTGCTTTGTAAATTGAACTTTAATTATATACAAGAGGCTCCTGCAGGGTCTAGCAAACTATTAACAGAGCAGGAGATAAGAAATTCTAAATCAAACAGAAATTGCAATAGTATAAATATTAGATGACTCTTTACAGGAAGTGTTTAGGAAGGCTGTGTAAGTCACATGCAGGGAGGTGTGACTAGGGCTGAATAAACAAAGTGATTTAACTCCTAAATGGCAGAGGATTGAGCAATGAGACTGCATGGGCATGTTCTATACACCAAAACTGCTTCATTAAGATAAAGTTGTTTTTTTAAGTGTCCCTTTAAGGTAAAGTGGCGATTTTGCTTTGCTTTAGTAATGTTTGCAGGTGGGCATCCAAATAGTGTACAGAGGACAAATTTGTGCTCTATTGGGGTGTGACAAGAATTGATGATTATTATTATATCGACATGTTCTACAAAACATTATAAAGATTATGGAAATGCAACGTGTATATACTGAACACCTGCGTGTGAACAGAAGGAGGTAATGCAATCTCTGCTTAAAACCAGCATTCGGTTTAGCTCCAAACATACATGCATTGAGTGAGGTAGCGGTGACATGGGAAGGTAAGTGAGTGACACAGACTGTGTGAGTGCAAGGTAAGTGAGTGAAACAGTCTGTGTGAGTGCAAGGTGAGTGAGTGAAACAGTCTGTGTGAGTGCAAGATGAGTGGCTGCAGACAGAGGAAGATTGGTGTAAGAGTGATACATTGTTCTAGATTAATGGAAAATCATATAAGGACTGGAGAAAGTCTGCCAGGGAGAGCAGGTCTCTTGTTGCTATTTGGTGACTAGTGATGTCCCGAACGGTTCGCCGAACGGTTCGCGAACGGTTCGCCACGGACTCATCATTGAGTAAACTTTGACCCTGTACCTCACAGTCAGTAGACACATTCCAGCCAATTAGCAGGAGATCCTCCCACCTCCTGGACAGCTCACTAAGAATGCAGCTTCACAATGGATGCTGTCCCGGAGGTGGGAGGGTCTGGGAGGGAGGGTCTGCTGCTGATTGGCTGGAATGTGTCTGCTGACTGTGAGGTACAGGGTCAAAGTTTACTCAATGATGAGTCCGTGGCGAACCGTTCGTGGCGAACCGTTCGGGACATCACTATTGGTGACTTTATTGTCAATATAACAGTTTAATGAGTTCTTTAATCGGAGTTTAGATTTTATTGAGGTGTTACACTATAGATATTGTGCCATGAATATTTCTCTCCTCATACTGTGATAAGTAAGATAATAAATTCTGTATAAACTGATAAAATATCTTGTGGTTTTGCTGCTATCTTTTTTATAAAGAAATATTGCACAATTAATGTGTGTCTTCTTTGTAATTAAAGGTAAACTCCGTATTTCAGGTGAGCATATATTAGAAAAAAAAAAATCTTCAGTAAAACCTTTAATAAAACACACATAATCGTGGCTACCGGTTGTGTTATTAATAGTGTTTTAATAAAAATAATGTTTTTAATGCTCTTTACTAAGATGGGGCAATGCTTGACCTTCAGGTTGTACTCAGAGGGGATTCAGGAATCTGTGACGGTCACTTTCTGTAAAACAACCTGTTTAATATTAATTAAAGGGTCGCTGGCACTCTGTCTGTCTGCTATGCATTCTTACAGCGTTCATACGCAGAGGTTTACAGGAGGAGCTAACTGTCCGATATATCAGGAAGTCAGAGATTGTTCCCATAGGAAGGCTGATCCACGGATACGCCATATCCAAGCGACATCTCCCCTTCCTGAACAGCGGACGGTAAGATCTTTCAGAGACAGTTTATCTCTGCAGCTGTGTGTAATATGGTTTATTCTAACTGACTCGGGATTTTGTAGCCAATAAACGTGGGATGATTTGTGGTTGGAAAAGTTTCTTTCAAACAAACTGTGCCACAAACAGATCCAGAGGCCGGTCAGTAATAGAAGAAATGATTTCATGGAGACTTGTTGATCTAAGACAGTAATTCCAGGAATTTCTTCAACATGCTGCGTATCAGGAAACAAACGTTATAACGTGCGACACGTAACAGACCTGTCTTTTGCGTTTGCCGTGTTATCATTTTTAACTCCTTAATGACAGAGCAATTTCTGAGATCCCGTGTGTTTGTGACGGAGGCCATTTTGAAAGTTCTACAATGTGTTTATTTCACAGTAATTAGCTCTGACACTTTATGGGTTTTCGTTTTAAATTAACCTTCTCTTTCTCCATCAATTTCTCTTTGTGTTTTGTTTTTTGGCAGACCTTCAATGAACGCAGGGGTTGCAGCTGCGACTGGGCCTGTCCCTCCAGGTGGCCCGGCCGCCCTGTGGACCCCACCAACTGGGTGCCTGCCGGCCATGTGGTGCAGACCTGGCCCGTGCGGTATAACCGCCAGGCCCGCACTTTCAGGGGCCCATGTTCTTGGGGCCACCCGATGCAATGTATTTCCAGGAGCCAGGTCAGTGCTCCGGTGCTTTAACAGCCCATCAAGCCCCCTGTGATGATGTCAAAACTGCTATTTTGCCACTCATGCGCATTAGGTCTCACCTGTTGCCGGCCGCACAATAGTTCTCCCCCAGGGACATTGGCGCTGGAAACAGGTAAGTCACTGAAGGGGTTTTAACCCCTTCAGCAACATAGGATGGGGGTGGGAGGGAGAGGGGACCTGCAGTCCCAGGAAAACAGATTGTTTCTGGCACTGGAGGGTCCCTTTAAGCTGACATTCGCTTTGGTGACTATAGTGTCCCTTTAATATTCTTATGTCTTTTTAAAATACTAAACCCTGAATAATTGCACAAAGCCAAGAAAACCATATTTTGTAGCATCTTTAAAAGGTTACTCCAAGTCCATTGCAGTGATTTGAAGTGGTCATGGTGCCTTGAGTCTGTATGTGCTGTATTTTGCTATGAAACAGTGCTGTAACTTCACCTGCAGCAGCTTCATTGGGGAGTCATTAATAAACCTGGAACAAGATTTCTGGGATAGCTAGTGGTACTTCTGGGCATATTCCTGTTCATAGAATTGCATTAATTGGCTGAGATACTCTCTTATAGCAAGTACCCGACAGGATCAACTTCCTGCTTCTTCTGCAGAAGCCAAATGTTATCACTGAGCATTATAGGACCCTTGGCATCCAATGGTGACCCTGGTAAGAGTGTCGACTGCAGAGAAATGGTTTACCCCGTTACCGGGAAACTACGGGTCAGGGTAGTGATCACATCATACATACTACAGCGGGCTGCAATGGTAATGAGTAACCTTTTAAACTCCCCGTCATTTTATAACACTTTCATCTAATGATTTGCAGTCTGGTCCAGTGAATCTGCATTATAATTCCTCCAAATTAGGTGACAGAGTGACTGGTGTCAGTCCTCCCATTTAACCCCTGCATTCTTGCCCATTTAAAAGTGCACAAAAAGTGTTTAATGGCAGCCGTGACAGGCTTATTCCCACTTTTTAGTAAGTTTTTATTTTTGAATTAATTTGGATCAATGAGATTTAGCATTTGAACTTAACGGAATTAGATCTATTTCCTTTCATCCTAAATTATAAAATGTGATCAGGAGGGGCGGGGTCTGGCTTCCAACATGGCTAGACGTGTTTTCATGTAGCTCCCCATGGAGCTGAAACCAAGTATTAAAGGATCACTATAGGGTCAGGAACACAAACATGTATTCATGACCCTATAGTGTTAACACCACCATCTAGCCCCCCTTGGGCCCCTCATGACTCCATAAATATAGTCAAAATCCTGTATTCAAGCCTGAAGCTGTAACTCTGCATGCTGTTAGACTCAGAAAAACAAGCAGTCTGCTGACATGTGGTAGCCTGATCCAATCACAATGCTTCCCCATAGGAGACTGACAAAGAGGCAGATCAGGGGCAGAGCCAGCATGATTCAAACACAGCCCTGGCCAATCAGCATCTCCTCATGGAGATGAATTGAATCAATGAATCTCTATGAGGAAAGTTCAGTGTCTGCATGCAGAGGGAGGAGATATTGAATCACAGGATGCTGTGCACAGTGCTGCCCTGTGCTCTGCTGACAGCAGATCTGAGTGGATTGAGGAGTTTTATCAACTCCAAAGTCCCTCTGGTGGCATTCTGAGTGACTGCAACTGGAGGTGTTCCTAACTTTCAATGTAAACACTGTATTTTCTCAGAAAATACAGTGTTTACATGAGAAAGGCTGCAGGGAGCTATTGTTCTCACCTGAACAACCTCATTAAGCTGAAGTTGTTCAGGTGACTATAGTGTCCCTTTAATGCTGAAACTGATCCTGAACTGCTAATCAAGTTTGTGAAGCCCAGCACCACCCTTTGGCCCTGATTAGGGGTGACTTTCTTGCCCTTACCCACGTCTGGGTTTGAGGCCTACCGAGTTGGAAACGTGGACTGCTAGGAGAAGCAGACAGTCTCTCGGCAAGAGGCGCACCTCTGAACCTCGACCAGCGTCAGCCCCGTATACCCCCGCCTTTGGACCGGTGTGGATTATCCCGGTCCCCACTGGGTCCATAGACTCTATAAGTGTCAATTTACCTACCACTCCCACGGATTCATAACGAAGTAACTGTGACAATCTAAAATGGCGGATGCCACTTTCGTTGATACACATGATGTGAGCTCCACTAAGAGGTATTACCAGGACTCTACAGCTAGTTCCCTATGCTGCATATTACTCTCAGCCTAAGATGCAGGCCCGGCGCTACCTGTTAGGCAGACTAGGCAGCCGCCTAGGGCGCTCCTTGGGAAGGGGAGCCGCCAGGAGTGCCGGCTTCCCTCATGCTGCAGCCGCCCGAGTGCTCTGTAGAGAACCTCAGGTGGCTGCAGCTTTGCCCGAGATGGTGCGTCCATGAGGGCGCACCGGCCGGGCTCAGCATGAGGAGAGGGGCTGACAGGAGGGAAGCGCTCAGTGCTCAGCGCTCCCTCCTGTCACTCCCTCACTGTAGCGGGGCCGAGCTCTGTATGGTCCGCGGGTACAGGGAGCATCTGTCTCCTGTACTCGGCCGGACTAACACTGAGTGTGCACTTCATGTTAGTCCGGCCGAGTACAGGAAATAAAAGCTTCCTGTACCTGCGGACCATACAAACTTCGACTGCACTAACTAGAAACAGGGAGGGAGGAGAAATAGGTGGGGGAGGGAGGTGGGAGGAGGAGGGAGGACAAGGGGGGTGGAGGGAGAGGAAGTGGGGGAGAGGGGAGAAGGGAATGGCCGGGGGAGATTGACATCCATCACACACACACACACAGAAAAACACACAATGCATTACACACACAGACACACAAGCAATGCAACCGTTACACACAATGCATCCCTTACACACACAGAAACACACAATGCATTCATTACACACACTCAATGCATCCCGTACATACACAGAAACACACCTTGCAGCCCTTACACATACAAACACAGATTCACACAATGCATTCCTTACACACATATCAGGACATCCCCTACACACTCCACCCCCTGTGAACAAACTCATTGGTGGAACATGAAGGTGGACCCTGGTACCCAGACCTTGAGCTGTGTAAAGGGCCCCCAAAAAATGGAGCTGCTTCCCGTTCTCCCAGAACATTGATTTTGTGACCACAGTTACAAACAGCCTCCAGAGATCCTGTTCTACACCAGACCAGTGGAGCCAGACTGCAGCTAGAGCCCATCATCATCCTCATCTGGTTGTAAGTAGGCAATCTAGCATATTATTCGTGGCACTAATCTCTAATTTACCTCACATTAAAGAAACACTATAGTCCCCAGAACCACTTCAGCTTAATGTAGTGGTTCTGGTGTCTATAGCCTGTCCCTGCAGGCCTTTTAATGTAAACACGGCGGCACTGCAGCACTGGCATTAGTTAACATGGCAAATCATATGGGTGGGGCATTGTGATGTCACATGGCGGGGGGCGGCAAAATCAGTGCACCGGCCCTGCTAAGTTGGTAGATTGGAGCAGCATGCGACTGGAAGTGCCCAATACCATCAGTACCTGCCTGATGTTTTTCTTGATCTTTGTCTCATATTCAGGCAAGCTCTTTAATTGTTTCTTAATATAAAACAGTGCAGCATCTATGACATATTATATAGCACTTTAAATGGGACTAATATTGTTTTTTCTCATGTTCTGTCATTTATTCAACAGTGTATTTCCCTGCACTACAAAATTAAACAATTTAAAAAAAAAAATTGTGATCAGAATCTTCGCTTTTTTAAAAGAAAATGTTTACATTTCATTTAATAATTTTTTTTTATATTTCCCTGTTTATCTGGCTGAGCCAAATGTTGGATCAAACTCTACTGTTATATGATCAATGGCAGCTCAAACTAACTTGCTGCTGCAGATTGGCACAGAGCAATCGCAGCATCTCGCTGCGTGCAATTCATT